CAAACAAAACCCACCAACCAAAAGAACACACCCACCAACAACCAGCCCAACCACAAGTCCAATGTTGATGCCATTTCCTGAGTTGTGTTCAGGAGCTACTGGTGTGTTGTTTTTTGCATTCTCATCAATCAGCGATGTCGAATTGAAACTCCATGAGTTGATCTTGTGGATAGCAGTCCCATCACCTGATGTAGCAGAGAACCCAACAATCACCCAACCCTGCAAGATCTCATTCAGATCAACCTTGTAATCAAGATACCCCTCCACCCAGACACCATTTTCATAAGTAGTGAAGGTAACGCTAAGATTTTTCGACCCAGAATCATAACGAATCGAAGCACTGTTGACTCGTCCCTGTGGAATGCTACCATTCCAAGCCCTGGTAACTTTAGACTTGAGAGAGTTGACGTCAATACCAACATGATCGAACCTGGGATCGTCGACATTTTCAAATGGATTCTGAAAGATGTCAAACTCCACTGCCACAAACGGGTACAGATTAATGGACTCGTTTGTTCGCGGGAATATGAGGGATAATCCAAGACAGCCATCTCTGCCTATTGCACTGTAGAGTGAAGACCCGTTTGGCGCCAAAAAGAAGGCGAGCCCGTCTGAATAGTTTTTTTTGTTTAGCGAGTTGATGGTGAATGTGAAATTTGTGGTGAAGTCGACGAGTTTTCCCCTGGCGTTGTCGCGGAGGAGGAAGGGTTGGCTGTATGTGGCTCGGCCGACGTTTAGGGTTTCTGAGTCGTCAGCAGCGCTTTCGGTGAGTCGGAGGAATTCCCCGTCGATGGAAGCAATTCCCTCAAGATGTAGGGTGTTGATGCCATTTGGGAAGGTGGAGAAATTGAAGTTTAATGAAGTTCCACAAGGAGCTAATAGAAACAAGAGAAGAAGAATGACAACCATTTCTAATTTGCTGGTAAGGTTACAGATCAAATTGTTGCGTCTAAAATAGAAATATAGAGAGTTTAATATTTGAAAGTGCTTTAATCAGCAGTTGGTTTCTTACCATTTCAAATCAAAATAATTTTCCTTGGACATAAATAAGGAATTGAAGATTCAAGCGAGTGGTGGTAGTGATGGAATGGGATGGGAGTGGAGACCACGGTGACGGTGACTGTGAATTTCTTGTATCTATATATTCTTTGCTCAAATATTTCTTTTGCGTGGTTGACGGGGTGAAGTTGATGAATAGACGGGTCATCTAGGACTACAACAAAGGTTAATTCCACACTTGGGATGGAAGGAGGACTACAACAAAGTGGGAGCGCCCGGAGGAAGAAACTGGTTTGGATAAGGTTTCTTCTACAATACTCCGGTGTATCGATACATCAAGTTTCTAGGGACATAAATGTCATTTCCATTTATTTTTAAAATTAAGTAAAACAAAATGAAAAAACTGGAGTAGAAGGTGTCCGGTTCTTTTCTCTTCTTCTTCACCCTCTGTCCCATCCCCTTCAACTCCCACAGCAACTCATCAAAACCCACAAAAATCAGAATTTTTTAAAAAAATGATCATCATCATTCTGAGACTAAACCATTATACCCCAACAATTCACATTATATTACAATTACATTCAATCCCTTGTTCAAACATAATCAAGTAACTGACTTGGTATCAGTGAAGGTACACCCAAATGGCTTGGGTGTCGTCGATCTGTGAGGTACAGAAAGAGAGAGGAGGGTTGCCATTGGGAGGAGATGTGTGAATTGAGTGGGTTGCTGTGTGAGGGAGGGGGGTGGCTACGGGACCGATGGGGGCACTTTTTTTACGGCACATCCACACCTCTAAGGTGATCAAGACCAGCTCTTCCATAGGGATTTTCCAATTTTCAGAGCACCTTTTGCCCCAAGGAATTCGCCACTGGTCATAGGCTGCAGCCGGCGTTGGGTGGGTTAGGACTTTTGGTGGCTGCTGTGAGTTCTTTGTTTTTTCTTCATTTTATTATTTTTAATTTTGTAGGGGAACAACTACAATTTTATTTGTTAAAGAGAAATGAAGTATTAGTTTCGTATCATCATTCCAATATTATTTGGATCAAATAAAATCTAAATAGATTCTATAATTATTAATCAGATGATTTCTGAATTGCCGATAGAGACAAGAGTGAGAAGGCTTTCTCCTTTTTCTTTTTTCTTTGTCCTTTTTCGCCTTTTGCTAGCACAGAGAGACATAGGTAATCTTAGAAGTTAGACTCGTCAATTGTCAGCCATTTCCATTGGATAGAAACATAGGTAATCTTAGAGGAAAAAAATTTCCAGATCTTACTAACAAACATATACTGTAAAATCATATCTTATATAGAAACATAGGTTTCTTACCATTTCAAATCAAAATAATTTTCCTTGGACATAAATAAGGAATTGAAGATTCAAGCGAGTGGTGGTAGTGATGGAATGGGATGGGAGTGGAGACCACGGTGACGGTGACTGTGAATTTCTTGTATCCATATATTCTTTGCGTGGTTGACGGGGTGAAGTTGATGAATAGACGGGTCATGTAGGACAACAAAGGTTAATTCCACACTTGGGATGGAAGGAGGACTACAACAAAGTGGGAGCGCCGCCTGGGGAAGAAACTGGTTTGGATAAGGTTTCTTCTACAATACTCTGGTGTATCGATACATCAAGTTTCTAGGGACATAAATGTCATTTCAATTTATTTTTAAAATTAAGTAAAACAAAATGAAAAAACTGGAGTAGAAGGTGTCCGGTTCTTTTCTCTTCTTCTTCACCCTCTGTCCCATCCCCTTCAACTCCCACAGCAACTCATCAAAACCCACAAAAATCAGAATTTTTTAAAAAAATGATCATCATCATTCTGAGACTAAACCATTATACCCCAACAATTCACATTATATTACAATTACATTCAATCCCTTGTTCAAACATAATCAAGTAACTGACTTGGTATCAGTGAAGGTACACCCAAATGGCTTGGGTGTCGTCGATCTGTGAGGTACAGAAAGAGAGAGGAGGGTTGCCATTGGGAGGAGATGTGTGAATTGAGTGGGTTGCTGTGTGAGGGAGGGGGGTGGCTACGGGACCGATGGGGGCACTTTTTTTACGGCACATCCACACCTCTAAGGTGATCAAGACCAGCTCTTCCATAGGGATTTTCCAATTTTCAGAGCACCTTTTGCCCCAAGGAATTCGCCACTGGTCATAGGCTGCAGCCGGCGTTGGGTGGGTTAGGACTTTTGGTGGCTGCTGTGAGTTCTTTGTTTTTTCTTCATTTTATTATTTTTAATTTTGTAGGGGAACAACTACAATTTTATTTGTTAAAGAGAAATGAAGTATTAGTTTCGTATCATCATTCCAATATTATTTGGATCAAATAAAATCTAAATAGATTCTATAATTATTAATCAGATGATTTCTGAATTGCCGATTTCAATTATGTTTTGAAGTTGGAAAAATTGCATAATGTAAGATTTGGGCAGTGCACGTATGTTAGGAGATATTGTTTCTCCATAAAACAATGGTTATTTGGCGTCAATCACTTAGAGTCCATATTGGATCAAATATGATGATTGTGATGATTGTGAAGATATTTATTTTGTTTGAGCATCTAGAATTCCTGAGAAAGCTGTATTCACCTGTTTTGATTTGTGTCCTGTGATGGTTGGGCAAAGTTCCCCATTGCCTTGAAAACCATTGACTGGTCAACAAGTCAACTTTCTTTAGTGTGCGTGAGCGTGCCACTGCTAGCAATGAAAACCCTAGCAAACTTTTGAAATAGATAACTTGCGCCCCAAGTTATTAATTTCTGAATAAGTGATTGTGAATTTGGGTGAGGAATATCTCCCAAGTAAGTTCTTTTCTTGCCTCATAATTTTTCACAGTACAAAACTGGTAGTTCTGGCCAGAACAAATGATAAGAGAGTGAACCGTTTTCAGGCAGAACTCTCTTTTACAAAGCTCAAAAGGGAAAAACTGACTCTAGAAAGACAAAAAAAAAAAAAAAAAA